AGAGACGGGGTTTCACCATGTTGACCAGGATGGTCTTGATCTCTTGACCTTGTGATCCACCTGCCTCGGCCTCCCAAAGTGCTGGGATTACAGGCGTGAGCCACCGCGCCCGGCCCCAGACAAGGTATTTTTTTTAGAGATTATGATAGTTCACAAGCTGCCCATCAGTTAGCCCAAGGATCCTGGATCAACTTAGCCATATATCGTCTCTCTCTCTCTTTTTTTTTTTATACAGTAAAATCCCTCAAGAACTTTATTATACAGGTGAACTTTGATCATCAGGATGCGCTTATCGGTAGGATTTCTGGTAGCGAGCATGAGCACCAGGGCCTCCAAACTTTTTGGATTCACAGCTCCGAGGATCAGCTACCAGCAGGGTCCGATCGTACTGGATGAGGATGTCTTTGATCTCCTTCTTGGAAGCCTCATTCACATATTTCTGGTAATAGGCCATCAGGGCTTTGGAGATGGACTGACGGATAGCATAAATCTGGGCCATGTGACCACCACCCTTCACACGGACCCGGATTTCTACACCAGCAAATCGCTCCTTGCCGAGAAGCAGAACTGGCTCCAGCAGCTTGTATTGGAGGGTATGCGGCTCGATCATCTCCAGGGGCCGCCCGTTCACCTTGATGAGGTCATTGCCGCGTTTGCAGTGCGCAACAGCTGTAGCTGTCTTCTTGCATCCAAAAACCTGCACAGACTGCAGCGGACCCTTGGACGGCATGGCTGTGAACGTGGACTAGAGAAACTCCATATATCGTCTTTTCTAACTGAATGCAGTATTCTCTTACCCACCATATGAGGTCTACACATATTCACTAAGAGCATTATGTAAAATAAAAAACTGGAACTAGGTCTCCTAAAGGTAAGCACAGTGCTAAGGGGTAAGAGATGGGAACTTTGTTTTAAGTTCAAACACTTTAAGCAAGAATTTGTACAATTTCAGGCAACTGGGCATTTTAAGCAAAGTACACAACTTCATGATAGATCACTGAGGAGGATAAAATAATCAGTTCTAAAAGCTGGTACAGATGACAAATTTTGTGTAATTTTAAGTTTTAAATTTTTTTTGTAGAGACAGGATCTTGCTATGTTTCCATGCTGGTCTTAAACTCCTGGCCTCAACTGATCCTCCTGCCCTGAACCCCCAAAATGCTGGGCTTACAGATGTGAACCACTGCATCTGCTGTTTTTAAAGACATTGTGACATCAGGCTGGCCAAACCTGTCTTCACCAAACCCTGACTCTACCAAAAATACAAAATTAGCCAGGTGTGGTGGCACATGCCTCTAGAGAGGATCGTCTGAACCCAGGAGGTGGAGGCTGCAGTGAAATGAGATTGTGCCACTACACTCCAGCCTGGGCAAAAAAGAGTGAAACTCCGTCTCGAAAAA